AATAGGACTTATCCCATCCACTGCAATCAACGCCAAAGGAAAGAATTACGAACTCCAGGTTGTTGTTAATGAAGGACCCAATTTCTCGGCATCACAAATGGCAAGCTCTCATGCTGGAGCGAGAGACGGCGATAGACTTCTTGCCGATCCTACGACGGGTTATCAACCAGCTCATATTTTGAACCTGGATCTTCGAGGTCATGTGAAGAACAGCTTCATTAGCCTTCGAAAAGAGATTTCCGAACGGAGGACTCAAGCCGTTGAAGAAATGGAAAAACACAATGACTTACTCGACAACATTAAAGAAGCCATTGACGACAAGAGGAGTGAGGTAGAGGCCTTATCGCACCGTGTCAGGGCTGCGGAGGATGAGTATGAAAAGACAAAAGAGGTTAAAAACACCAAAAACCATCGAGTATTCAGCAGTTATTAATATACCACTAGGTTACGACAACTCAAAAGTTGGCTTCCGATGCACAAATTGAGAAGATGGAGAAAGAGTTAGCTAAGATGCGAGCTGGTCTCACAGAATCTGTGCAATTAATGGAGCAACGAGAGATGAATACGAACATTGAGTAAGTAAACCTAAGACACCCCGATACCTTCTCACACTAACACGATGTAGGTATGAACAATTAACTCTCCGAGCCAATACTCTTCGTGAGGAATTGCATACAGAGACTGAGAGGATGTTAAACGACATCATCAAGTTCAAGGTTCACATTCAAAAGAATCTTGAAGATTATGAAGGATTTGTTGGGGATGAGGTTGAGCATGAGCTAGGTGGTGATGATGAAATCCGAGATGATACCCAAGATGTTGAGATGAGTGGATGAACGTGTTTATTGTATCTCTATTCTTTGATAATTTTGTTGGAGTCTTACGTCAACGGGGTCTTTTGTATTTCAAATGGGAGCCTACTCTAGTGAATAAGGAATGGGGTTTGATGAGCAAGGAGTCAATTATGTTTTGGATGAAAGAGTATGGTGTTATTGGTTCAGTCGGCTCTCTTTCTTTGGAGTTCTTGTTGGCAGAGGGTATATTGGTACTATTATGAGAAATGTTTTAAATTCAAAGGATTACACTGCCTGAGGAGTTTCGCCTGGGGCGTTGATGGTGTTGATGGTGTTGATAGTAGTTGATATTATGATCAGAGAAACAACTGGGGAGGGGGGGGCTGGGACGGGGTGGGGGATGAAAAGAAATTTATGAATTCGTTGAATGTAATCTTTGCATGCAGCAACAAGGGAAATAGTGAGGGGAATCTGTCGAATGTGATTGGATGGATGTGAGGTAAGAAGCAGGAAGAGAAGTAAGGGAGGGATATATTATGCGGTGAAAGGTATACATAGGGACTAGGGACTGTCTTCTGTTCATGTGACTTTTACAGTTCCTATTTTCTCTAGGTTAAGTACGTATAGGCACGTGACAGACACATCAAGACCAGGTCATGAACCTTAAGGTCAGGAAATGGTCGAAGCGTTGAGAATCTTCTGGTTACCTAGGCAATTTCTCTGCCTTGAATGAACTGGGGTAATCGGGTCGTGATTAGTAAGAGACAGGTGTGTATGTATCTGCACAGTCAATTTGTTTCATGTGAAAACTCGTAATTGAATAGCCGGCCCGGGTTCTTGGGATTTCTTATCAGTTTTCCCTAACACAATCATGTGCCCGCATTATTAGCTTCACCCCTGCCCATGTTCTATTATTACTCACCGTACTCCTGTACACCTACTGGGTAATTACATAGTGCGCTAGTCCTTCCTTCCAAGCCTTCTCTCCAATCTGAATCTAAACTCATTTTTCCTTAAAGCCAAATTAGCCAATTCATTCAAATCTTTGCATTCTCATTCATCATCCATCCATCCACCTTTTCCCAAAAATCCCCACTTTCTTGCGCATATCATACCCAGTACCTGATGGTTAAGGTAGCTGCAGCAAGCATTGATCAATTTACATTTACAATTAATTACACTTCGCGTTGGATCAACTGCATTTAAACATAATCCCCAGGACAAATCGAGATATTCTTCTCGTTTTGCGATCGCGACGACGGCGTTGGTCTCAATCTTATTAAGCTCCCGCTTTCCCGAAGTTAAAAAAAAGTCGAAGCCGAAAGTTTTCGACGATCATATCAACACTCTCCCACTACCCAACTATCACATCCATCGACAATCCACCTCTCAAGTTTTAACAACATCAATTACATCAAAATGACAGAGGTTTCCTCGACCAGGCTTTACTTGGGAAATCTCCCTCGCAGTGGTAAGCTGATTCAACATCTTCAATTGACATGCGACACCCAAACAATGCCTTTACTAACCATTTCTATTTCGAAATAGCCACCAAAGCTGATGTTGAAGCTCATTTCAACACTCATGGCACTGGCGAAATCACCGAGATTAAACTTATGAACGGATTCGGTTTCATTGAGTACAAAGATGCAATGGATGCGCGCGATGTCGTTCCTGGTAAGGAAATCAACAATCATACCCAAATCATCTCGATCCCGAACATAATTAATAACAAATTCTTCCTCGCAGCCTTCCACGGTTCCGACTTTATGGGCGAACGCTTGACTGTACAATTCGCTCGTGGTACTCGTAATAGAGATACCTTTGCCAATAACCCTGAGCGGACTGCTCCTCGTCCCAGACGTACCCCTCATCGAATGCAAATCTCTGGACTTCCAGGTGAGACCAGCTGGCAGGTCTGTTTACCCCGTTCCTTCATCCGGACTCATGGATCTCAATCATTGCTATTTGGACTATATACCACATCATAATCGTTTTGGACGCCTTCCCTCTACACATACCGTCACTGGCCAAGTTACCATTGTAATCCTGGTCAGCGACGCGCTTGTTATGGAATTTGTATTTTTCATGCCATAACAATATGCAAGTGCATTTGCGCAGGCGACTAGGATTTCATGGACACATACAAACGTTAATCGCTATTCGCCCTTTCTATCATGTCACGACTTCCTTTTTGCTATTATTGCTTGCTATTGCCCTTGCATAACCGGATCATGGTCATTGTGGCGCTGGAAAGATGGTCTACCTCTGGAAGATGAATCTGCGCTATCTTTATTAAAGAGAGATTCCTGGCTACTAATTCAAGGGCAACATCCATCCTTTGGTATTCATAAAGCTCAACAGTCCAGGACAACAACTTACGTGGATTTCTGGATATAGGATCTCAAAGACTTCGCTCGTCAATCCAGCCTCGACGTAGTTTATTCGGAAACTGGTCGCGACCGTGATGGTAAAGGGTAAGTGACTTCTGGATAACTTAGATTGGATAACTATTAACTTTTGACTAAACAGAAGCTTTGTCGAATTCGAAACTGCTGCAGATTTAAAGACTGCCGTCGAAAAGCTCGACGGCCGTGAATTTAAAGGTGCTCGAGTCACTTGCACTGCTGATGTGAGATACATTCCGTTTCCTACTTTAGACATCTTAAATTACCATTCGCCGTCGAAGACCTTCTTTTGATGATACTAACGAGATTGAATAGACCCAACCTGATATCCCTCGTGATCGTGCTAGATCTCGATCCCCAATGCCCCGAGGACGACCTTACCCCATTGATGATTATGATCGACGTGGTCCACCCCGAGGTTATAGTCCTCGACGTGATGCCTATCGCGATCGAAGCCCACCTCGTCGCGCTTATTATGATGACGATCGTGGTCGTTATGGTCGTTCTCCCCCACCTAGACCTCGTGGTCCAATCGATGACTACCCACCACCACGTCGTGGAGGTTTTGATGATCCTTATCGTCGTGATTACCCTCCCGCTGACCCATACGTCAATGGACATGGTAGACCACCTTATGATCGTCCTCCTCCAAGAGATTACCCACCAAGAGATGCCGGATATGCTGATGACGGATACCGTCGTGGCCGCTACTGGTAAATCATCCTTTCCAAATCGGTTGCAGAAGTGACCATTTGGATTCTGCTCACATAACATAGATTTTTAATGACAACCGGGTGGGATATGAAATGTTCTTCTATTGATGATTCACAGTGAACAGGCCAAGGGGCGTTTTGAGGTAACGTCTTTAGGTCTTCTCACGTAAGGTTATGATGTGAATACACGGATTTCGCTAGTTGGCTCTATTCAATCTTGTTATTTTTCCTTTGCTCATCTAAAAGCATACCCGGGGATCGTTCTTTTATCATTTGTAACATGAGGACATGCTTTTTCTTTCAAGGGGTGGACATGACTTTGAGTTGTGATTTTCACCCTTATGACATGTATTTTAGAAATCAATGGCTATTTTGTTTGCGAATTTTGTGTGATCCGTGCTTTTGAAATATCTGTGATCATCATACTCGATCTAAGTAAGAGATACTCAAGAGGCTTGCCTGTTACCGGTATGCACTTTGAAAAGATGTATAAAACGTGTAGAGGAAAAGATGTTCCATCCAAACCATAATGGACACTTGCAAGAACAGAGAACTCAGGAAGAGGATTGATTGAATAGATAGAGTAGGGTATCGGGGGAAGGATCAGCTAACCAAGATGCATTTATTGTATGTATTCACTCGGTATCCAGCAGATAGGTAGGTGAGTGGGCAAGTGAGTAATAAGTAGTAAGTGTGAGTAGGTAGGTAGGTAGGAAGGTGGATGGGTATGTATACTCGGAGATAGGTTTTTGCTGGATGGATGGATGGATGGAATGAGAAGAGTTGGATGAGTGCGTTGGATGAAAGTAGAAGAAAATGATTGTTCGGCCCTCGGGAGATGGGAATCTCCATGTCCATGTCCATGATGTCCATGATGTGCCAAGGTCCCGTACCGAACTCCATTTTAAAGTTTGGACGAGACGGAGATAAGACGATAAGACTATTCCACCGTTCGCATTCGCATTTTTTGGTGGTCCTTGCTTGTGTCTTGAGGTGATGTATGTACGTAAGTAGGTAAGTCATTGTAAAGTATAGTACTGGTAGAGTAAAGTACACCTAGTAGGTATAGAATATCCATATATCCATACAAATACAATTTAATACCATACTATACCATATGATACGATACATACCCAGTAGCTAGCAACGCAATTCTTGTCAGCCTATTCATCCATCTACCTGGGTATTGAGAGAAAGATTGATTCAGATCGGGAAGTATCCTTTTCCATATTTCGTATAAAAGCTCATTTACTTCTTCCCTTTGTTCATTTCTTCCCTCTCTCTTTTCTCAATACATACAAATGCGCATCTCTCCTCTCCATTCCCTCCTCAAGCTTCGGCATCGTCCACCACAACTACCACGACCGCGCAAAATATCATCAACATCATCATCATCCTCTTCTTCCTCAACCAATTCCAACCCATCCACACCCAACCCCAAATACACCCTTAAAGCCATGTCAGGCTCTGTCATAGGCGCAACGCTCTTTGCGGCCAGTATGAGTAGTCCGGCAGCGCTGGACAAGATCCCGGAAAATGCGAAGGAGAAGAGACATCATTTGAAGGAGGGAGAGGGGAAGGGGTTTACGAATCCATGGGATTCGTGGAAGGAGATGGGGGTATTAGGGATTGGGATGGCTATGGCTAGGTAGGTTTTTCTCTATTTGTTTGGAAAGGGGGAGTGGGAAATGGGCGAATGAACAAGTAATGGTTCAACTAGATCTATGGGAGATCAATTGAAGTGCGAGGGCTTTTGTGTTGATGGTTTTGATGGTTTTGGTGTACTGCATCCATAAATATCCGTCTTCCATGACGGTGGTCTTAGGTTGATGGACAGAAGGTGTTGAGGGAAGTCTCCTGGTCAGCATTTCCATTAGTTTGTGTGGCACGTTTTAAAATATTCTGCCTCCACGGCAGTGGCCCCCGGAGGGCCAGCGGAGCGTCATACCGAGTACATGGAGAATATAGAGATTCGGTTGGACTATCGAAGAACTATCTATATCCCCAGACTTTTCACCAAACTCTTGCTAATCACATTATTCTATCTCGCAGAGCCAAATTATCCGGAGAATTTGGCACACCAGATACAACTCCTCCAACGGTTCCCGTCATAAAACCTACCTTCCTACCTACTCGTGCTACATCTTCCCTGCGTGCAACTTGGCTTGGACATGCCTGTTACTATGTCGAATATCCCTCCGGTCTACGTGTACTCTTCGATCCTGTCTTTGAAGAGCGTTGCTCACCATTTTCATTTATGGGTCCCAAACGCTATACACCTATCCCTTGCAAATTATCTGAGATTCCAATTGTTGATCTTGTGGTTATAAGTCATAGTCATTATGATCATTTAAGTCATCCTACAGTTATGGAAATACATAAAAGCCATCCGAATGCTCAATTTATTGTAGGACTGGGATTGAAGAAATGGTTTAAGGAATGTGGAATTGAGAATTGCGTGGAGATGGATTGGTGGGAAGATATCGATGTTACTTTATCTCCTATTACAGGAGAGAAACGTATTTCTACTTCCTCTCAAACATCTCCCAATAATTCTCCACCGCCTTCACCCCCTTCTTCGTCTCCCACATCCATATCTCCTATAACCGCCCGCATAAGTTGTCTTCCCTCACAACATACATCCGCACGTACGGCCTTTGATAAGGGACATACACTGTGGTGTTCATTTGCTGTTACTTCCAACTCGAAATCTGTTTGGTTTGGTGGAGATACGGGTTATCGAGCTGTTCCACAAGTTCCCAAAGGAACTGATGATTATGGACCTGAATATCAACACTTGCCTATTTGTCCCGCGTTTAAAGAGATTGGAGAATTAAGAGGTCCCTTTGATTTGGGACTTATTCCTATTGGTGCTTATGGTATGTTTTGGATTTTGTGTTGTTTAACTGCTTCACTTCTTCTTTTTAAGGCTCCCTCCCCTCAGATCACCAAACTAACATCCACCCCTAGAACCTCGTCACATTTTCTCTCCCATGCACGCTAATCCTTTTGATTCGGTCAATATATTCCTCGACACCAAGTGTAAACGTGCTATGGGGATCCATTGGGGAACATGGGTTTTGACACCTGAAGCGGTTATGGAACCACCTCAGTTATTGAAGAAAGCGTTGACTTGGAAGAATATACCCGAGACGGGAGTCTTTGATGTTTGTGATATTGGGGAGAGTAGAGAATTTTAAGGTAGATTTAAGTTAGAGGGTTGAAGTAGAGAGTAGATGATGATGTCATTCGTGATTATTTAAATCGGTAGATAGTCATTTGATACGCGATTTAATAAATACATTTGAATATAAAAATTTCAATGATCGAGTATTCTACATAAATAGCAATTGAATTCATTTTACATCCTTATTTTCAAACTTCAAAGTTTTATACTCGTATATCATGAAACAATCATCAGATAATTACATTACCTACATACCTAGTAATTACACCGGTACCTACCTACAACTAACAGTTGGAAACCTACCCCGCACGTTCGATGATCTCCCGATCTATGAGATTTCCTCCAAAAGCTTGACATCATTCTTTAACGGTGATAGACATTTTATATCATATCATATCATATACTTCGTATCGTAGGTATGGACTATAAATATGATTTTGTCATCGGATTACGATTTGATCCATTTTATCTCAATTTTCAATTATTTTTATCGTTATTTTTATCGTTATTTTTTTTATACAAAATAGATTCTTAATTAGTTCATGATCAATTAAATTGTAGTGCTTTTGTTCCAGTAGAATTAGTCGCCCTCCTCCAAAAACCCGAGATCGAGACCGAGAGGGATTATTCGGTCTCTACCAAGGCCGATTTGAATCATTTGATACAAACCCCAAAAATAGATTTCTGCCTGAGCTAAAACCTTATTTAGAATTTAGTAATGTGTATATAAAAAATAATTCAATTCAATATATAACTTTAAAAAAAATGAATAAAATGAAAAGGAAAGAAGTATAATTATTAATTAGAATTCAAGAAATCGATTGATATATTTCTTTTTAAATTATCTTAAAAATTGAAACTTATATTTAATTTAAAATTATTTTAAGAATTTGGATAATTATTAATTTTCGATATTGAAGCTTTTATTCTTCAAATATTGTTATATTGAATATAAATTTTAAATTTCAAAATAATTCAAAATAAATTATACTAATCAATTTTCTAAACTCTAATTAATAGATATGTTTATTTTCTTTTTATTTTATAAATTCTTTTAAGGTTATATATTGAATTAAATAGTTTTTTTTATTGATAATATCATTCAAGATTTAATTAGTCATCAACCTATTTAAGAATTGATTAGTCATTAATCCTAATATTTGAGATATTTGAATATAATAGATTTTTTGATTAGAATTATATTATATTGAATATAAATTTCAATTTTTGAGATAATCAGAAATAAATATATTAATCGATTTTTTAAATTTTAATTAATAATTATACTTTTTTTCTTTTTAATTTTTTTTTCTTTAAAGTTATATATTGTATTGAATTCTTTTTCTTTTAATAATATAAAAACTAAATAAAGCTATATTAGTTATACAATTCAAGTGAGATAAATTTGAGATAAGGATTTCCTATTAAGTTTATTTTGCTTATCTTGTTTATCCTAAAGTAATTTATATATTATAAGGAAAACTATTTGAAAAAAGATTTTAAATATTAGTATATTTCTTATAAAAAAAATTTGAAATGAATTTCAAAAATAAATAAAGAAAGTTAATTCTAAAGGCTATTCAATAATATAATTTATTTTACAAAAAATCTTCAGTAAGATTGAATTCTACCTTTCTTTATAAAATTTCTATAAACATACTATATAGATTCTAAAATTTCTTTTTCATTAGGCAAAAATCTATTTTTGGAGTTTGTGCCAAATGATTCAAATCGGCCTCGGTAGTCTCGGGGTTTATTTCTAAGCAAAAGATACTTTGTGACCCTCTTCGCTTTATCATCGTCATCATTACAACCTTGTATAAATTGTTCAATCCTTTGTTTCTTTTCTCCTCCCTCCTTCTTCCTTCCTTTCTTTCCTCATGTTCAAAACATCCTTCAATCGACTCTTCCAATCTTCTAGTAAGAATTACATCACTTCTCCTTCTCGTTTCACAACTACATTCCACACCACCACACGAGCCATGACATCCTCCGACTCCCTCAACAGACCAAGCGGTCTCATCGCCACATCCGGCATCGAGCTCCTCACGTGGGGAACCCCCAATGGACATAAAATTAGCATTCTGCTCGAAGAGCTCAAAGCCGCCTATGGAAAGGAATACACGTATCAAGCGATCAACATTATGGAGAATATCCAAAAGGAAGAATGGTTCACGAAGATCTGTCCGAATGGGAGGATTCCGGCGATTGTGGATCATGATCGCAATGGGTTTGCGGTGTTTGAGGGAGCGGCGATTTTGGCGTATTTGACGAGGAATTATGATGTAGAGAGGAGGTTTAGTTTTGAGGACGAGGAGGATCGGAGTAGAGTTGAGCAGTGGGTTGCTTGGCAGTGAGTTTTTTTCTTACTCTTTTTTTTTCATCTCTTCATTTCTCTGCTCATCTTCCTTCTTTCAATTTGTCCTTCCTTCTTGAGAAGGAGGAAGAGATGGCAAAATAATCAAATAAAAAGAGTACATCCAGCTAACAAAATCCAGACACGGCGGTCTAGGCCCCATGCAAGGCCAAGCAAACCACTTCTACCGTCTCGCAAAAGAACGCATCCCCTACCCAACCCAGCGCTACATTGGCGAAAGCGAGCGTCTCTACGGCGTCCTCGACGCCCACCTCGCCGATCGCGAGTACATCGTCGGTCCCGGGAAGGGAAGGTATAGTATTGCCGACATTGCGAATTTCAGCTGGGTCAACGTGGCTTATTTCGCGGGGGTGGATCTGGCGAAATTTGGGAATCTGGAGAGCTGGTGGAAGAGGATTAGTGAGAGGGAGGCGGTGAAGAAGGGGATTTGTGTGCCGAGTGAGAGTCGATTGGTTAATGAGGCCTTTCAGAAGAGGTTGGAGGAAGATGCGGAGTTTAGGGAGGGAGAGGAGAAATTGAAGAAATTGGGAGAGGAGGCCAAGGAGAAGTATGGATATAAGTATGCTTCGCCTTGATTTCGCTTCGTCTTGGTAGGGGTGAATAGATAGATTGATCTATTGGAATAATAAAATGTATCATAGATTCGATTCGATTTGATTTGACTCCTGAACATCTATCGCAGAAAATCAAGCAGCAAATAAACGTGATCATCAAGTCTCGAGTCGAGACTAGACTAGATCCATCTAACCAAACTACTCTGAAATCTAATTCAATAACGCAATCATGGTCATTAGTAGAATCAACTTGGATAATGGGGGCAAGCCCCCAAACCCCCATTTGCTCGCTGCGCTCGAGATTGGGGTTGTACGGGTAGGAGGTGTAAACGAAGAAGATGGTATACATGGCATAACAGTACAGAGCAAGTGGATAAATAGATAAATAGCAGCACTCGAGTGTTATAGTACTTCCCTAGAGAACAATGTATCTATATGAATATCTATAGAATAGAAATATAAAAACGTGATATTTATTTGAGTCTTTACTCACTGTTATAACTTATACAGAACTATGAATGATAAATAGAAAAGAATCTTTCCTGATGTGTTATTCGGGAATAGAGAATTGGGTATTGGTAGAGTATTAGAGTGTTTTTGTATTGAGAGGAGGGGAGGGGAGTGGAGATTCTTCGATGAATCGATTTTAACTCAAGGAGAAAGGAGAAAATACATAATTGAATAATCGAGCGCAGCGAGGATATGGGGGTTTGGGGGCTTGCCCCCATGGATATGAAGGGTTGATGGGCAGAGAAGTTGTGATGCTGGATGAGGGTTGGTTTATAATTAGGGGTACCGGTATATTGTGTTTGAACTCTTGTGATATGGGACATACTTTGGGGTTTGTCTGGATCTTTATGACGGGGAATTAATTATCATACTACTAGCTATACGAAAAGCTTTCTTCGTTGAGAAGTAGGATGTTAGTTGTGTATTCTTGTGGCTATCTATCTCATTCTATTTTCCCCCTAATTTATATTCATCTTTATATATATATATATATATATATATATAACTCTCAACCTTATAGTAAATCCACCCGAGGCACCGCACCGCACCGCACGCCCTCAATTCGCGTGCTCGAGTGTTTTCGGCTAAAACACGATTCAGTCCTTCTAGTGCTGGGTACCCCGCAATATCAAACCCACCTGGACCACCCCACACTACTCGTGCAACAAGGTTGTAATTCCGAAGAGTACTGCAGAGAAAAAGCTTATGTACACATGGCAATTGAGTGGTCATTCTTCCTTTCAAATTCTCTAGACTTACTGCGACTTGCTGGGGTTTGTGTGGCTGGATTGCGAGGTCCTTCGCATTAGCTCCCGCAAGCATAAATCGTTTGTGCGGCATGATTCAATATTGGTTTATCCCGCTCCCTGCATGGATGGATATGATCACCCGCCATCGTGTTGTGCTCAGTCTCGCTCAGTCTTCATGATTGCCGAGTTCGGCAATTTTAGTTCCATGTGTCTAAAATGATGTGCATGGAATGGGGATGACTTGGATTTGTTGGTGTTTTTTTTCTTTTCTTACGTGGAATGCGCAAATCGAATGGATTGTGTAGATGTATGAGTATAGTTACATGTACAGTGCAAGGATTATAGCAAGTGCTACTTTGGATATTCAGTATGATGAGAAGTGTTTTGTGCGTGTGTAGAAATTTTGGTATAGCTAGTGGCTTATATATTTGATGGGGTAGCGCTTGAAATACTTTCTAGTATAGACTTTCCCAATCGACATTTTGGAAAAATTCTCATCGGTTGTATGAGTGTGGCGGTGTGAAGATATTGAACATTCAAGGGCTTGTTGTCATGGTTCTCATCGGATTGTCGATACAAGTCTCATATTGTCGCTATTCACATATTGTATATCACCCATACATACATGTCCACGTGTTCAGACTCATCTGACAGGCGATCTCCCCTCAAACTACTCTTCTCCTTCTCGCGCCTCAAGTCTTTCTATTCGGAGAATTTCCTAAATACACCATATTTCGCTCGTCTTAAATCATCTTCTCTATCCTCCTCCAATCTCACACACATTGGCGCAGTTCCACAACCTTTCATCTCGCTCTGGTTGGGTTCCCCTTGAACGAACATACTGAGCATTCTATGCTTCCGTACCCATTCAAAATGTTATTCGGGCCGGCAATCACGGTCTGCTACCTTATTACAACCGCTATCTCATCACCAATCCAAGTCAGAGCAAAGAA